TAATGGTGTTAAATATATAAAAAAGTGTTTTTAATTTATAAAGGGGGGTCGCACTCAAAGGTTCACTTGCTATGTGAAAGGGGTCACCAATACAAAGGTTTGAGAACCACTGGTATATCTGCTCAAGCATATAACCTCCTTCTAACAAAAGTTGCTTTAGCTTTGGGAGAGAGCTGTCTACAGCCTCATCATCACATGAACGGGACTCACCAACAATTTTCAGTTTCTGAATGCCATGCCTTTTTTGAAATCCCTGCAATTTTTTTTAAAATTAAAGATAATTCAAGGGTTTTTCAGCTCTCCTGTGACTGTTTGCAAAAGAGAACTTGACTAAATGACTGAGTATGCAGGAAAGATAGTGAACATGATTGTACACAATGTCAAATACAAAATAAATTAACCGGAAAAAAAAAAACAGAAAAAATATTGCCCCTTCCCCCGTATTTAACTTTTTCCATGTATATTGATGTTAGGAGTTATTTGTATCTATAGTAGGTACAAACATTTCAGACAGAAAGGAGATTTTTCAAGTTGATGGTGTTTCCTTAAATGTTATTAACTCCATTGGACTGTACTGTTTTTGTATCCACTGTGCTTTTGTAAGTTTGAGCTTCAGGGCAGAGACCTTTATTTGTTTAGCACAGATCATTATCAGGGGAGCTGATAGAACTGTCTATACTTAATGTTGCCCAACACTTCCCATTACATGACCTTTTTTTAGTTGATTATACCATTGCCAAACTTAAAATTATTCAGGCTGATATTTTCCATGCCAGGTGTCAGCTTCAGGTTGATGATTTCTTTTGGAAACTTTCAGCAAAAAAGGTTCAGCAGTTTCTGAGCATGAGAGTAGTGAAAAATACCCTGTTTAGCCCACGTTAAAACAATAAATCCATTCTTTGAGAACTTCTAGCACTTCTGTCCTTTGGATCTCGGGCTTGAAATTGAGTGAGAGGGGTGCCATGGAAGTGCCATTTGCTATTTCCATGTTAAAAAAAAAATTCCAAATTTGGCCAAGCTATAAACTTTTTTAAAGCCTCACTTCAAACATGTTCACTAGAAACTTTGTTCAAGTTTGACAGCTAATATATCTGAAGATTCTGCTTGCTCTGACCATGGTCTTGCACAGTAGTAGTTCTTTCCTTGCAATTGCTCTTTCTGGCTGCTGTAGGGCTGCGTGGTGGCACGCACAGAGAATGAGAGCAGAGAGACTGCTTCTTCTGTGCTCTCAGTCTCTCAATGCTTCCCTTGATGGTGACCAAGCAACATGGAGGATGATGCAGCCTGTCATGAATGCAGAGGGAACAAAAGCCAGGCCTGGGAGTAAAGTTGCCAATTTGGTTGGATGTAGTCCTGGAGGTTTCATCACGTCATATAATCTTTAATTAATCCTGGTGGGTTGGTAACCCTAGCTGAGAGCAACAGGTTGGTGGCAGAGGGAGTAGATTGGGATGAGGTACCTGGGGAAGGAAGGGGGGTGGGTAGGTGATAGGGAAAATGGTAGCAGATGGGGGGGGGGGGAAGACTGGGACTGAGAGCCAGCAGGGAACTGGGAGTTATGAGTGGGGAGAGGAAGGAGACTGAAATCAGATGCAGAACTGGGGGCACTGGATGAAACTGACTGGGAGTGGCTGTGTCCAAGGGGTGAAAACTGGAATGAGGAGCAAGGAGCAGGACACAGGTCTGGGAGAGGGACAGACTTGAATGGTTTAAGAAAAACAGTATGTGATCATGTAATTAAAGACTATCATAATGCATATGCACAAGGGGAGAAAATTAAGGTTGCAAGAGCTTGACCTAGCAACCTTAATATTCTTTCAATGTAGTTTTAAAAATGTAATTTTGGTAGAACAGTAGCTACACTGTAGTTAAAGTTGTGCTACAAAGTTCAGATTTAATAGAAATTTTCAATCTTTATTTCGTAAAAATTGCAGTGAAATGGCAAAAACCTTAACAGAATATAAACTTTGAGCACTATTTAAATTTTTTATGGTGATTTGATGAAAAATGAATTGATATAGAAAGAATAATAAAAGTTCAAAAATCACCCTTTTTTTCCCACTGGATTGTTCTCACTTTCACCCCTTTTAGAGGAAACACCACACACTGGGACTCATCCTTTGGCCACTATGTTGCTCCTCATGTGCTCATTCCAAGAATATCATTTATACATTTTTACCTATCACAGAAAATATGTGAGCCAAGGTGAATCTACCAAATTTTAATTTGATGACAAATTTGCTGTAGCATGAATGCTTGCACCCTCCCTCTCTCTCTCTCTCACACACACACACACACACACAAGTTTCCTGAGCTTCAAAAGAGGAGACCAGAAGTTCAGATCTCACTTCTTCTAAATGCTATTCTCATGCAATTCACTACCCTTATTACTGACTACAGCCATAAACTCCAATCTAGAAGACAGGGAAGAGATGCTGATCTCCCTTCCACACCCTTTTTCAAAAATAAATTAGCAAAGATATTATGCAAGATCACCGCAGGCAGAAAACCCAGGTCTCTAAAATGACAGTAACCAATCTAATCCACTACACTAATCTGCCTTTTAGAGGGACTAAACCAGTTTTAGTTATTCTTTCACTAAACATTATAAATCACATCCTCTATCCCAGAGCCAGGCATAGACTCCAGGATTCCTGATCACCAGTATTCTTCTGTTGACTAGTAAACAGTTATGTAACTCACTGTAAAAGTGTGTGTGAAATCCCCCTACCGTGTTAGGTCTAGAAAGGGTCTAGCAATTACTTGTGTAGCTCAAACAGTAAGGGCCTAAGATAGGGATGTGTAGGTCAAGGAATTCAAACCCTACTGCTGATTTATGTGGCGGGATGGTATGGTTGCATGTGATTCACACAGTGAAAAGGCCACTTTCAAACAGGGGTTGTAATTAAGAACCATCACATGACACGAGCAACATTAAGGCAAAATACTTTCTCAAATGCACGGATTATGGGACAGTCAGATGTGCTGATCTGTTGATATAATTGTTATAAAAACATATGAAGTCACTATCAAGGTGTTGCATTATAGGGTAAATTAGATTAAGCTGTGTATGGCGTATGTGTATCTGTTGGAGCTAGAAATGAAAGCCTATGGAACATTGGAGTGTATTATTGACAGTGTGTAGGCAATAAGGTAGAAAGGAATGTACCAGTCTATCCCTTTCTTATTTCCATGTGTGACAGATTGTGGATATATCTTTATCAACTTGTAAACTTCAATTTGTTTTGTGAATCCTATTTTGGTTCAGAGGCTCTACTTTGTACTGTAACCTCCTTTGTGTATCCATTTTGTAGCCGGATGTAATGGGGTTTACAAACCCCACAATAGGCCTGAAGGGGTTAAAAGGCAATACTGGGCCCAAGTAGACCTGCTCCTCCAGGCCTGCTGAGCATGCTCCTACTGGAGAAGTGGGTTGAAAGGAGCTGAGAAGCCCATGCAAATGGTGATGGGAAGGAGGATGACTCCTCTGGGAAGCCAGACAAAAGACTGCCTGAGAGGGCACATAGATCGGGTAAGGCTCATAGACAGTGCCTTCTCCAACCACCACTCCCTTTGAGGTCCTGCAGAGCCTTGCTCCTTTGGTCTCTTTATTAACTGATTGACTGGTTCTAGAGGCCATGCCCCAAACTGAAGGGACATATAGGTAGGAAGTAGCTCAGGGCAGTGGACTTAGACTTGCTGCAGGGAGGATCCTGGTCTGGGACCCAGTGGAGTGGGAGGGCCTGGGTCTGGATCCTCCTACCACACCACTTTAAGGTCTGTTGCCCAGATGTGGGTGGAAACCAGGAGATTTCCAGCTTAGAGTCAGGAACCAGGCATCTATACTATCCTGAAAGAGATGCAAGGGGCTGGAGGGCCAATGGCATACCTGCTAGGCTGTCTGGTCTTCCAAGTGACCTATCACACAGGGGCTTGAGACCTTTGTCTGAGAAGCTATGACAGAACAATCAAGAGTCAACAACATAATGACTATTCCCTACTGGGTTTTCTATGGGTAGGGGCCCTGACTCTCAGCCCAGAAGCTGATAGGGGACATGGAACCTGAAACTTTCCTAGGAAGAAGCACATGGGTAAATGGAGGACACAGGCTGTTTTAAAAGGGTGTTTTTCTAAGCCAGAGGCCAGACCACAATGACTGGCAAGACCACTGGGCTAAGGAGGGCAGAAAGGGCTACCAAGCCTAAGGATGCAGACCAAGCCTCAGACTCATAGGAGGGCATAAGGTCAGGCTTGGGGAGTGTGCTCAGGATTTTGTTGTTTTTCAAAGATCTGTAACTCTCCAGCATGTACTTTATTAAGAAGCAAGTGGTTAAGAAATTCTTTTGCTAGGCCAGTGTTCCTTGCTTTCCTGTACCTGAAGGGCTAACTGAGAAATCAGAGCTCCCACAGCCTGAAGGGATTGTGGGGGAAAGCATCTAATCAAGTGGGAGCTTGGGAGTGTTGTCAGACACAGGGTCTGTTTGTGGGAGTTTGCTGGAGAGACCCAGAGCTAGAAAAGTGATCAGTCACTACACCTGATAAAGGGCTCTTAGAAACTTAAGAGCCCAGAATTTGGGACCCATTACAACAGACTGTGTCCATCCAGAAAGGTAGCTGGGCCAGGTTAAGACACCTTGCTTGTCAGGTTTTGGGTAGACAGAGTGTGTCCTACTGCAACCTTAACTGTAACTAAACATTGTTTTTGTTTGCTAATAAATATTACATTGCCAAACCAGTCTGGAAAAATGTGGAACTGTCTTGATCGGCAGCATCCACAAAAGTTGGTTTTGGTTTGAAAGAATGTCTCTTCATCTACACTTGAAGTCTCCACTCCCCAAAATCACATTTGTTGGGGTCTAGTCTCAGTTATTTGCAAGTTATAGGTATAATTCCAACCAGTGTTAGTGAGACGTAACCATGTAAATCTCACACAGATCAATGGGATAATAGTTTGCTTAGTTTCTCCCATGGGCAAATAAGTGGAAAAAAATTAAACTCACTTGCAGGAAACTTTTGTTCGATCAGCCACCATCGTCCATTGCTGCTGATTAGTGGAAACCTCAATGTAGTAACTATAGCTCCGATCATCACAGTCCCAGAGAAGTAACCTGGACAGGGAGAAATAGAATATAGAAGTGATCAGTAAAATTACCACTAAACCAAGCTGCTCATTATTTTTTTTCAGTCTTTTCTATCTTCTCCTTAATCCTTATTTAGCTAAACTCTTTGGTCTACAATGTGCCTCTAACAATCAGTGTTCCCTGTTGATACCCTTTTCCTTTCGCACATTATTTCGGGTATTCCTCTGAGTCCCAACTATTCACACTACTTTATGTTAACGCCAACAATCAATCTATAATATATTCCCTATAGTCATTCTACAATATTCATACAGTTTATTTTTAATTTATTTACTAATCTATATATACTCTATTTCAATTGCCAGGTGGAACTGCCAGTGTATCACTGACTTGAAGATCTGTTTGGATAATGTGGCTGTGTACAGAAAGCACAGCTCAAGGGCTAGAAATAAAATAAAGCAGATCCTGATTGTGTGGAATACTGTCTTCTTGCATATATTCTCTTATTGTGGCGCAAACACAAGGATTACTCACTAACAGAGAACTCAAGGCCTGCATATGAAATGGGAATTTCTCATCTCTATGGATCAAATTGGCAAAGAAAGAAAAAGTAAAACTGGCCTATTCAGGTCAGGTCAGGTCAGGTCTTAAGAAGGACCCCTTCCTCTACTCATACTACCTAATGAGTGTGCTGTCCTTCAGGAAATACATTAAATGCATTGTTAAGGAGCTCCCTTCACCTTATCTTGGTTTTCCTGCAGTGTCCAGGACACAAGGCACCAGGAATATGGTTTAACTAAGCTCCAACTTTATCAAGTGAGACATCTGGGAACTATACGGCAATAGCTTGTCCAGAGCAGGTCATCCTTCCATTGTAACCTGTGCCACCTGGAGGGAGGTGGCCTTCAGCCTCCTACTCCTAAAAGTGTCATATGCTACCTCTGTGATTATTTGTACTGCATTTATGCCTCCTACTCCTCTGTTTCATCTGCTGTAGGGCTGTTGTCAGCTTCCGTTAACCTGTCTCGGAACCATTTCTGGGACTCCACTGCCCTTCCCTCCCAATATGAGGTTTAAAGGAGTGGGAAAGAGAGGGTCGTCTCCTCACTGTACCAAACATTAGAAGCCCCATCCCCATTTCCCACCTTCTTTATGAGATGTGGCTTCCTATTTCTCTTCTAGGTCTGGTTTATTAGGTAACTGAACCCCATGCTCAACAATTACCTGCACTGGGCACCTATGAAAAAAAATAATTTTACAATCTAACCTACCTACTAGGTCCCTGAGCTGTTCACAGGGAGATGAAACCACACCCATCTCAGCCCAATCTGAGCAGTGAGATAAATTCTTTTCCAGCACTAAAAAGGCAACTAGCATGATGTCTACAACAAGGTCCACAAGCCCAGTCCTACCATAATGCCAAGGGGGGTGAGGGGGTGGAGCAAGAGCCCCCCCACCCCACTGCAGAATGGTACCCTCAGACAGGAGGAAAGATTTATAGACCTTCCCCGTGGGTGCATGGGAGTCAGTAGGCCTATGCTGAACCCTTGTCCAACCAATGAGCCACAGAGCTCCGCCTCCTTCACTCTTCAAGCCTGAAGGAGCAGAGGGCGTGTATGCAATCCTTGAAGGAGCCAAGGGTTTTCTTTCCCCTGATATTCCAGACAAAATTTTCCCAAGTCTTGAGGTGGAGTCTATGCTACAGGGACTAGTACACCATAGCTATGGCGCCATAGCAATGTCAGCATAATCCTGTAGTGTAGATGCAGGCTACAGGAATGGAAAGGGTTTTTCCATTGCTGTTGGAACACCACCTCCCCAAACAAAGGTACTGAGGCTGCTGAAAGCATTCTTTCATTGACCTACCTGCGTCTGCATTGGGGATTAGATCGCCATAGCTATGGCCCTTGGAGTGTGCTTTTTTTCACAGCCCAAGTACTGTAACTATGTCAACCTAAATTTTAAGTGTAGACCAGGCCTGAGGCTTGGGGGTGGTGGGAGGCAATCTCATTACATATTTTTCTTTAGAAGCAGTGAAGCATTTTTAAAAATTGATTAATAGATGTGATTTTTTTTATATCTTACATAAGTGCCTGGGCTGGCTGCATACCATTGATTAGCAGGGGTTTTGGTTTACAACTAATTGCTTTCTTTGCTGTCGTTTTGATACAAAACTCAATAGCAAGTATGTTTTCAAAACTCTTATCTTTGCTGCTTGAGTTAGGAGTGACTGTAGACAAACTCAACAAACTGCACTTCCCTTTCTTCAAAATAATTGCTCTCTCTTCAGTCTGTGAACCAAGTTTTTAAATGGTAATATTCTAATTAGAAAGCCTGCATTATGCATGTTATGGCAAACTAGATTATGCTGAATGTGGTTTTTTTTATCTTCTATTCATTTCCTTAAGGGATTAATTCTCTATCAGATTAAGAGTTACAAAGATTGAAGTCCTTTGCTTATTCACTGAACTGGGTGCCCTTTAAAAGCTCACAGAAAATGCCTGCTCCATATTGTTTATGCAGTATGCCTAAATTTGTGCAATACACTAGTGTAAATATTTCAGCCTTTGTGATAATTTGGCTAGCAGATTCTTGTCAGCAAATGTTGCGAACACTAAGGCTGGTGCACACTAGGAACTTATGTTGGTATAACTCTGTGGAAAATCCATACCCCTGAGCAACACAGTTATACTGACCTAATCCCTGGTGTAGACAGTGCTATGTTGACAGATCGCTTCTCCTGTTAATGTAGCTACTGCCTCTCTGGGATGTGAAGTACCTACACAGAAGGGAGAAGCTCTCCTGTTGGCACAGATAGTGTCTTCACTAAGCACTACAGTGTCACAGCTGCACTGGTGTAAGTGCAGACAAGCCCTAACTGTAATGAACATTTGGTATATTTTGATTGCACCTGCTGTCTGCTATGAAATCTAGTGGGACCTGTTCCTACCACAATAATCAGAGCACAACTAACCAATCAAAAACAGCTAGAACTACATTGACCATCTAAATCACTATAAGTAGAGCTAAACATACAAGTAAAAAGAAAACTGTGGAATCTAGTTAGCACAATTAACAAAAGGGGCTAGTCAGGGTTCTTTCCTCAACTATGCACAGGAAACCCTTTTCAAACTACAGTGGGTAAGGATTGTTGCCTGTCACTGAAAATATCAAGAAACATCCAAATTGAGCCAGCTAGATTCTAAAAGAAAATAAACTTGGTCACATTTAAACACTTTTCCAGGAGCAAACTATCAAGCTTGTGTGTCTTTAAGGATCTCTTACCAGAATGCTTAAGTCTCATATAATTTCACTCTCCCCAGTGAGACAATCTTTCTTGCTTTCAGCTGCTACCTCTGCTGTGACAAAAATTACTGTTTAAAAATTATTCCACTCTTCAGAGTTAAACAATGCTGCTGGTAGAGAGGTGAAAATGACCTAGCTGGGAGCTGAACAAAGAGCCCTTTTCCTTATGGGAAAATGCTGTCCATAGCTAAGCCTGCCTTGCTTTAGGAATTCATTTACTAGGAATATATGGGTCCAATCCCTGACCCAAGAATAGTGCTAAGGCCTCATGCTTCCATGATCCTGTGCAAATCAGAACCTGGTAAAACTTTAGGTTTAGCATTATATTTCCTATTTCTCAATCTCAGAAAATTTGGGCTCAGGTAGGCTGAACAAACAGATTTTACAAAGAGACTTCAGAATCTCTCAACTCAATCCCAGACCATTAATATTATTAATAAATAATAATTTAAGACACTAAAATAAAAGGCTTCCAAAAGAAGCCTTTTAGCTCTCATTAGTTCTGTCTATCTGCAAATTAAAAATTCAGAGCTGATTCTGTCAAATTCCCAGAGGCATCTTTTCAGGACTTGGTCAGAAGAAAGATTCAGCTATGAGAAATTCTGCTTCCTCAGATCCTCACTCACCCTGCTTTTCTACAACTGTTAAGGTTGTTTGCCAGCTCAAGACAAGACAGACTTCCGTGTTAAAAGTCTGACAACGTAAGGGTAGAATCCTAGATGTGACGAGTACTTATAAACAACAGATACTGAATCCATTTAACAATTTCTAATCGTAGGCTAAATCTTCTGAAGGATTATAAAGAGGAAAAAAGGCAAAAACATATGTAAATTGTTTTCTTTTATAAAGGCTGAAAAAAAAAGTACCTAATTACGTTTTTCAATGGATTTCTTTCATTATTGGGGACTCAATGCAGTTTCCTTGTGCCAGGTCTTCAAAGTTTTGATCAGGAGTTTAAAATTCAAATATTTCCAATAGCACAGTGGTAATTATAATTATTCTAACCGCTAAATGCTCTAATTAAAACACAAGTGGTGTGGATTGAGAGCAAAAGACTAAGTGGACATATCTCTTTTTTTGTGAGTTGCTCTCATCTCAGCAGTACTTGGCCCAGGTTAAACTACTTGAAAGAGGACATGGCTTTGGGTTATCATTAACAAACAGCGTATTAATTTAAGCCACTCCCAAAGAGATTTAACATGAATGATAAAAATAGACACTTCCTCCTTTGGGATTTGTGAAAGATGCAAAATAAGAGTTTGGCCTTTGCCTCCACATTTTTTTTAAGAACAAAGAGAGAAAAGAAATACACCCTGTTTGGAATTTATTCGGCAAGAGCTGTCTTTTCAGAGAAAAAAAGCAAAAGCCTGCCAGGCACTTGCATGAATATTCACCAGTGCACACTGGGCACAAGGGCCACTTTTCATGCCACATGCACTAATCCTTCCAACGTATTCCAGGCAAGCTACTAGGGTAAACTTCTATAGAGGAGCTGTGCTTTGCTGTGATGAATTTGGGATGGCTGAAAGGAGAATGTCTAACTACAGAAGGCAGAGCTGCGTACACAACAGGAATACATCAGTCATGGGCAAAGCTGATGATGATACTGGGGCTTCCCATATTAGAATAAAATGTTACATTAGCTTTGATTAGTAAATCTTGCCCTGTGGGCTGAGAGAGAAATGCTGAGTGAACTGAAGGTTCCTGCAGCTCATTCCTTG